TAGCGATTAATAGGTGTATACACCTTGAGTCCAAACCGAAACTTCACTTCCATAATTGACTGCTACTCAAACTCAAATGTGACAGAGTATTATTATCCTTAATTTTGAAAATTGAACATTGAAAAATATATATCAGTCCGTGGAATGGTTATGTTGGCATATGGTCATCTTGTTGAGCTTGTAATCATAGCAGTGTGTGACAAGTGTCAAGCTTAATCCACAGAAACAAACTATGTCCATTCTCGAGCATTTTTAGGTTTTATTTAGATAAAGTTATAGATAAGTCTTTGTAAATAAGAAAAATAATAATTTTTTTATAAGTTAAAAATAATTCATCTATCTCTTTTAGTTTTAGAGAAGTTAAATGGGAGTATTTTTCTTTTTTTTTTAAAAAGAGTTAACTTTAACTTAGATAATATATTTCATTTATTTATTTTTATTATTTTTCCTCTTGTAAAAACTTATTTACAAGTTCGTTCAAGGAGGACATCAATCAAGTTGCAAGAGTTAGGAAATGAGTTTCTAAAGTTTTCAGACTACAAGTGATAATTTCATTGGCAAGAAACATAACAAAACAAACAATCAACTGAAGAAGATTATCTAAAATCATATTGGATCTATCCTAAACCATTCTACATAGTTGAAATTGTAAGTGAATAGAACTTTTACTTTACCCACTAATATATAATTTGCTTAAATTGACTTCTTACCATTAAAAGTTTAAACATTAATTCTTAATATTAAAAGTTATTAATCATATTATTTATTATCATTAAAAAGTGTTAAAATATGATAATAGAGTGATGATTTATAATATTAAGTGACATGTTAGAGTTTACTTTGAATGCAAAATATTCTTGCTTTAAAATATTTTAAGAATAATTCATGTTTATCCTTGATTTCTGAAATTTCTAAGTTTTTTTTTTTATTTTAAAATTTTTTCCCTACTTTTGTTTTGTCTTGGACACTTATCCGATTTTAACATTTTTTTTTACAACAAAAAAATTAATAATTAGCAACTCTTAATTTCAAAGATTACAAAAGTAAACATTTACTCGTTAACTTATATTATATGCAACTGAAATGTCAACACCGAATCAAGATGTTTCTAAGTAGATTTACCTACGATTCAAACACTTGACGTTCAAACTTTCCATTGCACAATTCATGTTATATCTACGTTATCAACCTATCTGTTAGAAATTTACCTCTCCATCTATTAAATGAGTTCCCATGCATAAATAAAAATGCTTTTAAAAGCTATCTTAAACAGTTTTTTACATAAAATTTTTAATTTTAATTTTATTTTAAATTTTTATAATTTATTTCTAAATTTCTAAATTTTATTTTTTTATTTAAGTTTTATTTAATATAATTATTAATAACAAAATATATTTATTTTGAAAATTATAAAATTTATTAAGTTTAAAAATATTTATATGATATACTTTTAATTTTTATTTTTAAAATTATTTAAATTTAAGGATAAAAACCTTGACTAGTTTAAAATAAATTTTAATCAATCAACCTAAATCATGTTATAAGTACAGAAAGAATCACCACGTACAAATTCAAGAGTAAATTGTGAGAAAAAATGAACCTAATTACATTTAAATTTATACTAAAAGTAAAGTCTCAGGAATTCAAACCACAAGATCTTTAAGATTTTGTTTGAGAGAGCATAGAGGGAGGGGAGTGAGGAGTTTGAGGGGGAAAGAAAGTGAGGGAAAAGAAGAGAAGAGGGTAAACAAAAAAACCTCTTAGGTAGGGAATTGAACATAAAAAAAATGAATTTATAAGAGTTTTAAAGAATTTATAAAAAAAATTATTTAAAAATATCTAAAAGAAAGTTATTATTAATAATTTTTTTTCTTCACTCTAAAAATTAACTCCTGAACAAAATCTAAAACTCCTTTGACTGAGTACAAAAGTCTAGTCCTCCATGACATCATGAAAAAAATGCATGCGGAGTAAGAAGAAAATTAGAGAAAATTAAGAAAAGAAATTCTTGGAGAAAATTGAGTTTCTTCCACCTAATTTTTATCTAAATATCCAATCTTAAAAATGAAAATATAAAATTGTTCCTATCTTATGAGTAATTCACCTGTTCTTAATTTTAGTTAAGGATCTAATTTGCTTTGTTTCAATAATTATGAAAAGTTTAAAATAATTGAATGAGAAATTCCTTTTACATCCCATGTTTTTAATATAAATTTAATTCTAAATTACTCTCTCGAAAATTAAATATTAAAAGTAATTTGTAAATCACATTTCTGAAATGTATTAAACTTTCTTCCGGAATCACTTCTAAAATTTAACTTGATAAAATAATTAAAAAAATTCAAAACGATTCGAGTAGAAGAAATAACAGGCACAAAAAAGATTTCTCCAATACCCATTCTCAAGGCCCATAGTGTACATCCAAATCCAAGGTTATAACCCTATCATAATTGTGTCGTTTCAATTTGGGCCTTCCATGAAATTAACACCTTATGTATCAAATTTCATGTGACGCCAATTGTACCACAGCTCAACATATTTCTATAGAACATGTTGTGACCCAAATTTTGCACTCTACCTTCTTGGTCCATTAAACATGTAATTGAACTTTCTTATAGGCCTCCAAGGTTTCCGTACACAATTTTCATTTATACGCTGCCATTCTCAGAGATTTTAGAGTTTTGTCGATATTTCCTACAAGGACTTCATGATTTTAGATGTTTAAAACTGAAGATATGTTTTAATATACAAAAACAGTGAGCATAAAATTTGTGTGTGTCTCTATATCAAGAGGAGAGAACCTAAACCCCCAAATTGAATAATAGCTTTATGGTTGACTGTTTGGTTGAAAAAAGAGTTTTTGTAGAAAACAATCCAATGTTTTTCAACCAAATTGTTTAAATCAATAGTACTCACGTTTGACTGTTGAGCTTACCAACTTAAAGGGTAAAAATGAGATTCACGTTCGTTGGATACGCATTTGAGAGCAAAAAGTGGACTACCAAACACCCACTCAAAGCAAGCGTTCATGGTAATCATATGATTCATTTCTTACTATAATGTGTCCGCCTATGCTTCTTTTAAGATTTTAAGAACTTGTAAAATAATTAATAATTTGTGTATGCTCTTTTAAATTTATTACAATGAATTTAATTGAATAAAACTTTGAGGACTAAAATTAGAAGACTAAAACAAATTTTATCTTAAAATTAAGAGACGAAAAACTAATTTTGTCATTGATTTAAAATATTAGAAAATAGTAACAATTTGTGAGTTGGTTTATAATAGAAATATACACGTGTAATGATTAAAATCATATATGAAAATCATGTAATATCAATTGAAACAAGTTCAAAAGGTTTGAAGCAATTAAAGTTAAAAGTAATGAAAAACAATCGATGCATATTTTTTTCTCAAATAAAAAAACTTACAAACAAATTCAAATTTATAATGAGTATAAAGAATGTTCTATGAGTTTAACGCTTTTTTACAATAAAAAATGGACATGTACTACAAAAAGGCTATTAAAAATACTAATGAAGAGAATGCATGACATAACTTTTAGATCAAGGTGAAGGAAGACCTAATCTTTTTATTAAAAAATGATAAAAAAAAAATATAGTAATAAATAATATAACAAAAAATTTAGTCTTTAATAGAATTTAATGATATTGTGTAGTTTATGTAGTTAATCTTATCTAGTAGAATTAAACTTAATTGTTATTGTCAATCTCCAACAACTCTTAAATTATCATCTTTTATTCTAAATCATTTTAAATTAGATTGACTAGACTGTTTTTTTTACCTGCAATTCACCAACCAAAACATTGAAGTTTTTACTTAAATTAAAAGTTCTAAAATTTTCACATATTATAAAATTATTTAAATTTTAATAAGTTTTCATTATTTTGTTTTACTTTTAAAATCTTCCAAATCTCTTCAAATATTGGATTAAAGATAATTTAAAGCTTGTAACTTAAAAAAAGATAAACCAAATTTGTGTAATTTGAAAATAGAAAAAATTGAAAAGAAATTAAAGACTGAAATTCTTCAAGGCTGTTTAAATTGGAATATTTTGTAATTTATGTTTAAAAAAGCTTAAAATTAACATTCATTTTTGTTTTATGAATTTTAAAAAATTAGCTGATAATCATTGATTATTTTTTACTTATAATTAAAAATTATTAACTAATTTTGAAGTTAAATGTTATTTTTAATTTTATCATTCATAATTAATTATTTTAAATATAAAAAATAGTATATTTAATTAATTAATTTATTTCTATAAATTTATTAAAAAATAAATATTTGTATTTAAATACAATAAATTATTTTTCATTAACACATCAAAAAATAAAATTTATTTTATATAATTAATTGTAGATTAATAAATTATTATTATAGTCTAACGTGGAGCCAGCACAAAAGGGGGACCCACCATGTTATAGCTCTCCTTTCTTGACTGTGGTGTTTTACTTTATAATTATTATTATAGGCCTAAACGTGGATCGAGAAGAAAGGGATCGTGTTGCCCTCGCAATGTAATTGGAAAATGTGTATTATCCAAAATATAAATGACAATTTAAAATAATAATATATGTCTAAATTTTCTATTATTTTTTATATTTAAAAACAATACTCAAAATTAAGCAACCTTGTAGCACTAAAGTTAGCTTAATAAACGTAACTAGAACTCGTTCTGATACATAACTTAATTAAATATTTATTTAATAATTTTTATATCATAGCTTATATTATAAATTTAATTATAAAATTATTAAAATAAAAAAATATTTTATTTTAATAAATGATATTAAAAATTTATTAAAACGTGTTTTAAAAAATTTATAAAAACTATTAAATTATTTTTGTAAACGTCGAAACATTGTTAATGTTCATTGAGGTCTGGAGTCTAGACATAGGTTTAGCCATTTTAAGATTGTCTCACAAGCAGAGGGAGCTAGTGTCCATCACTTCTGGCATTTAAACATTCTACAAACATGCAACAGCTTCATCTTTCCCAGCTTTTCAAACCCAAGCCTTTGACATATCCTAAAGTTAATGGTACAGCACATTTTCTTGGACATAAAACCCATCTTCAACCTAGTATTTCAAGTTATAAGACCACTTTAGTTTCTTTGTTCATAACCAATGGCCTCAATCTTCCTCTCATCACAAACTCAGCAACTTGTAGTGCAAGAGAATGCCCTACACTCTCAGCTGAGGATGATTCAGATATTGTTAACAACTTCAGCATGAATAAGAATCAGAGTCCTATTGAGGTTTCTGATGAAAGTGCCAAGGGAAAGAGCTTTTGGGGTGCCGTTGGTTTGATCATTGGTGCTGCTGTGGGCCCTGGAATGTTGGGCTTGCCTTCTTTGACCATAAAATCAGGCCCATTTCCTTCAACAATCATAATTTTCATATCATGGCTCTATGTCATCTCATCAATAATCATTGTTGCTGAACTTTGCTTTGATGCAATGGAAGAAGATGGTGTTGAAGAGGTGAGCTTCACAAGCCTTGCAACAAGGACATTGGGACGTGGTTTTGGTGCATTTGTTGCTGTAGTTTACTCCAGTTTGTGTTTTTCCTTGCTTGTGGCCTGTGTTGCTGGTATTGGATCAATTTTCTCTCCATGGTTTCAAGGGGTGAATGCGTTTATTGTTCATTCCTTGTTTCCTCTTCTTTTAGGAATATTGATTGTTTTTTTCCCATTTAAGACTATTGATGTTGCAAACAGATTTCTATGCTTCCTTATGCTATTCTCCATAACTGGATTGGTTGCTATAGGAATATCTGTGGCAAGAGTCAACATAATAAGCTCATTTGCTTTAGCCTCATGGAAACTTTCATCAATACTTCCTATTATACCTGTGGCTGTGCTCACAATGGGATTTCATGTAATCACTCCTTTTATATGCAAGGTTGCTGGGAAAACTGTAGATGATGCTAGGAAAGCAATACTAATTGGTGGGGCTGTTCCTTTGGTCATGGTTTTGTCATGGAACTTGATTGTGTTGGGGCTTGTAGGGACTAATAACAACACAACCACCACCTCTGGTGACCCTATATCCCTTTTGCTTTCTGTGAATCCATCAGCTGTATCTGCAGTTCAAGGCTTTGCCTTCTCTGCTATGGCAACTAGCTTGGTAGGATATGCTGTGAGCCTTCCCAAACAGCTTCTTGACACTTTGGAGTTGGTATCAGGAAAAGCCAAAGCTTGTGATGAGCATGGCAGTGGAAGAGTTGGACTGGCCTCTTACTCAGGAGGGTCTAGTGTTGGTAATTCTGGGAAGGTTTGCTTCGTAGGTTCAAGAAATGAGACAATAACAGGATCTAAAATGAGATCAAATGAGCCAACATTTAAAGTCCTTGTGACACTACTAGTCCTTGTTTTCTCAGTGCTGATAGCTTCATTTTTACGCTCTACATTTTCAAGGGCTCTTGATTTTGCTGGTGTCTATGCCAATTGCTTTTTGTTTGGCATTATTCCTCCTGTGATGGCTTACATTCAACAATCCAAGAAGAAAATCCGGTATGTAACGCTATTAGCTGTTCCACTTAGCAATATAAGAATTCTCAAGAAGAGAAAACAAGCTACATATTTTAGTTACATAATGTAGTCAATAAGACAAATATCATAATGGTTGAGGCCTAAACTTTTTCTAGAGAAGTGTCATCTTTTAGATACCATCATATTTAACTGGTAAGATATCTCATTGGTAAAAAACATTTAGAATACTTTTTAATAAAGCTTCAACCATCTATCTTCTTTAACTAGCTTTTGAGAGAGTTAGTTAAGCCTAATTTTTTAAAATTAATATTAGCCTGCTGTGATAATGTACTGTGGCAGATCAAATTAAAAACTGACCATACCCATAAAATGGAGTCTTGTTCTAGAATTATATAATCATCAGTTTGTAACTTTGCCTAATGTGTAGTTCTCAGCTCTAATCACTTGGTTCCTCCTTTCCTCTGTTATACAATTACGTATTATGATACCCTTCAACTGTGTTTTGAGATTTGTAAACCGTATTGAAGTTGATAACACTTTTATTCAATTTATTAATTTTCCAATGCTTCAGTTTTGTGAAGGAAAATAATTTGATCATTGGCATCTAACCATAATGCAATGATTTTTCAGGTCGTCCATCATTCCAGGTGGAAATGGGACACTTCTACTACTTTTCATTATCTCTGTCATTTTGGGAATTTGGCATTGATATTCTTCCTAGGCTTAGAAAGTGGCCAAAAAGGTAACATACAATAAGGAACAACAGTGATGTATATGAAATTGTTTGTGTTTCTCTTAAGCCCCTCTGCTACCCTTGCTGATATTCTAACGGTTCATGTTGTTTAAAGGGTGCAATAATATCCCATTAAAAATTGAAAAAAATCTTTGTTGCAAATTTGCAATCCAATGGAACAATACAAAAGGACGAGATTTGATATGATGGCATACCAAAAATATGCCAGCAAATGGAATACATGTCATCGGCACAAATTAGACTTCAGTGAAATTGGTGCATGCCTGTCTCCAACCTTTTAATGACTGTATTTGCAATCTTAGTTTATTTAAAATTATTTTAATTTTTAAATTTATCTTTATTTAAATTTTTTATAATTCAAAATTATTTAAATTTACTTTTTTTCATATATCATTTATACCAAAATAAAAAAGTAATATATTTTTAACTTTTGTTTACATTAAATAAAAGTATTTATAATTATTGTACCATAATTTAATTATAAAAAAAAGTAATAACAAGTTCAATATATCTAGTGAATATATTAAAAAAATATAAATTTCAGAAAAAAAAAATGTTATTTTCGAAAAAAAAATTGAAAGTAACTTTGGTATAAAATTAAAGAAATAATTAATATAAACATATGAAGAAGTTTCTTAACTTTTTCTTTTACTTTTACGATCTGACAGGTAACTATTGTTGATAAAAATAGATAGGGATCATTTAATTTGAGAAAATTCAAAAAAAAATAATAGGTATTCTTTGGCTAAGAACTGTGAAATTAAATATTGAAATTACCAAGAAACAAAAAGCTTCAAGGAACAAATACCCATATGCTCAAAATTGTTAGTTCATAATGCTCAAACACATAAATAATACCACATGTGTTCCTTTGTACACTGAACAATTATGACATATGTGCTATCTTTATAATATAAAATAAATTTCAACTTTGAGATTTGTGTTATATTAATATTTTATTTAATTATGAATTAGAATTAATTAATTATTTAGAATATATTTTAAATTATTAATATAATTATAATATTATTTATTAAATTTATGTATGACTAATTCATAAATATATTATTATTAGGCTTAACTAAAAATAATTTAAGATTGGTTAAACTATTTGACCTTATAATGATTGCAAGATGAGAGAGGTCCCTGATTTTATTTAGTGAGTTTAAGTAATTATTTTTCCATTGAACAAATACAATTTTTCTTCTTTGTCTCATTAGACATATATAGAGCAATTTTTTATTTTTTTCAATTTCAATTTTCTACCTCAAAAGGAATAAGGAAAGACTAATAATTTGATGATAGGTTCACAAATCTAACATCATTTTGTGATAAATTAAAATAACTATATTATAATTTGTAATTTTTTGAATTGTTAATTCAATATTTCAAATCATTAAATAAAACTAGAGACTTGTAAACTCTAGAACTGTTTTGACTAAATTGATTATGATCAATCAATTTAAAAATTGATAGAGAACTTTTGTTGAGAATTATATTTTGAGAAACATATCAAAATTTCTTTGAATTTTATTATATATATTGTGAGAATCGAAATATTTTCACTCATGAGGTCTGAAAATGCATTCACATAAATCGCAAAAACATTCATGACTAAATTGATGTTAATAAATAAATGATTTTTTTAAATTTATTGACGGCTTTTGTTAGGAATTATATTTCAACCAACATATCAAACTTTCATTGAATTTTATCATATATTTTGTGAGAATCAAATGATTTTTCATGTGCCACTTTTGAAAAACACACTATGAATGTTACTAACCTTCAATCTACAAATTTTTACAACTAGATTATCAGTTTTCAAAAGTGTTTTGGAGCTTTTCTTTGATAATATTGGACAAATAACATACTAAAAAATTACTTCATTTGGTTAACTAATTGGAGTTTTAAATGAGTCACTCAGAGTTAAGTTAAATTATGATTTTCTTTTACACAATGCATCAATTCATAAATTGTTTGAGGGTTTTACTCATTTTTCATTTACAAACAATATTAATCTTATCTAGATCCATATAGTTACTCAAATTGGGAGAATTTCAAAGTTTAAGTCATAGGTCATACAATCCACTTTCAAAAAATTAAGTTGTTTTGTTCTTGTACATTGGCTCTCGTGTGATTAGACCTCCAAAACTAGTTTTTTAATTTTTGATACCAAAATCCATTATTTTTTAATTTTTAAAATTTTGATATAAATTATGAAATTTTAAAAAATTTTGATCAATTAGTTTGAGATTAAATTTCTTGTTTAGTTATTCTACACTTAAAATTTAAGCCTAATTTTTTTATTAGTTATTGATATATATATACATGATTCATGTGACATGAAGATACATTACACTCTATTTGCGAATATGTCATTTGTAACACCATACCTTTCTCCATCTTAAATATATTAAATTTGATAAAAATTTAGAAAAAATAACTAACTTTTCTGTATAACCATTAACCAGATTTCTAAAAATAAAACCTTTCACAACAGTAAATCTGTATATAATCTATGTATAAGACAATTTAAAAAAATAAACTGTGTGAAATATATTGCAATTTAATATTTACACACTAAAAGATTTTAGATACTAATTAATATATTGCATTTACATATCATTATTTAGATATATCATAAATTACAGCAATTCATACTCAGTCTCACATACTGAGCACCTGAAACTAATCATCTATATCATGTCAGCCCTCAATTTTTGCTAAGTCTTTAACAGTTAATTCATCATTCTCTCCAAGATAAGTGTCACTGGAGTCCACCACCATTTCTATACTAGATAATCGATCAAAGGCCTTTCTATTCCCTAGTATAGATAAAAATTGAGAGACTAATGAATTTGATCACTGGTTGGGAAATTAAAAGGAACCGCATTGTAACATCCTAAATCTTTAAATTTTAAAAGCTGCTTATTTTATTTATACAACCCAGTATACTGTATAAATATTTCATATATGAAAAATATTTTCAATATAAATAGATAAAATACTTATTTGTAATTAAGATTGTTTACAAGATTTACCAATATAGAAATTATTAAATAAATAACGATAAACATAAATCATAATTACTCAAAATAAATTTTTACAACATTGGTACAAAACCTACATTAATACATGTTTCATATAATAATTTATAAACTGTAGAGTAAAACAAGTGGGATTCAAAATAATATGTACATGACAGAAAATAATTACATCTCAAAATCTATAATTGAGAACCTAGTACTAGTCGATTCCATGCCAGCATTCTATCTCTACCAGATCTTCAGAATCAAGATTATCGTCTGATCCAAGATAAAGATCGCTTGGATCAACTGTGACTTCAGTACCAGTAACTCTTTCAAAAGTCCATTTGGATGGTCTTCCGAGATGGTTATGATTATGATAAGTAAACAGTTTTGTGATGGCTGTCAGGTTCTTAACAGTACCACTATACATGCAAATACACAGGGTCTGATGTTTTCTATTCCTAGGAAAATCAAACGAAATACTACAAAAGAAATCCATTTCTAATGTAACAAGAGCTCTAGGTTCAGTTTCTACCAAAACAACAAATTTAAAGTAACAAAGTTGTTGATATTCATTTAATACATAATTTAACCTATAATGTACTAAACTATCTACTAGCCTAACTTTTTCCTGAGGCTCTATCATCCCGATTTCTTGAAAATATTAATAAGGATGAGCTTCTATTTTATTATTTAAACATAATATTAACTTAAAGACCAACATCATAGCATAACCACATTCGTGAAAAACAAAGCAAGGAATCATAATAACATGAATCTCAAAGCAACATATATCACATATACATATATTCCATCACAACTCATTACATTCTTCTCTTTCGGATACGCACTGCCAATGCACTGTGATCACAAATATACGATGCCTCCAGTAGTTTTCGAGGTCTTACACAACTAGGTAAATAGTCATTGGTTAGCCCATGCATACGGATACAACGTATAGTCAGGAAACGAGTGTGAGGCCAAGTGACGCATTTGCTCTCAGAAAGAATGTGTACACATACGCGAATGTCACTCACCACCCTACATTTTCCTTAGATTTTCTATCGTTTCCGGACTCTATACCCCCAGTGTATCTCTATAACTATTCACACTAGATCCATTCAGCTTTTTTTACACTTATCTCATACTCCTCTTTGTACTAAACTTGTCATTCAAGTAAAAGATCATGCTTAGTAAAGCACATTCGAACTAAGTTCCAAACAAATATACTACTCGAATATATCATTAACATACAAAATAAACCAAACATACTTTTTATAACAATTTAATGTCAATCATAAGAATCAGATAAAAACACGTACATAAGGTACTCTTATGGTTACAAAATATTTATTATGCTTAAAATAGCAAAATAGAGCTCTCCTTACCTTGAAACGAAGTTTTGAAAGAGATTTGGTGAAGGGTTTTGTTGAAAAAACTAAGATCTTCCTAGATATCACAAAAGAGAACATTTTGAGAAAGGAGAAACTTAGAAAAACAACCGCTCCAAGAACTTACTTGGAGTTGATTGATGTAGTTCCCAAACTTGGATTCGAAAGAAAGTTGAGGTTTTAGGGAAATTTTCTGAGAAGGGAGAGTTAGAGGTCGAAGGAACGGAGGAAAAGCTCAAAACTTGGATTATAATCCAAGTTTTCTAACTTGAAAACCCTTAAATACCCCTTGAATCGCGACATTCTCCTTATAGCGAGTCTTTTCTACTACAGCGAGAGATTTTGCTACAGTGAACCCTTATCTCGTTACAGCGAAAAACTAGACAAAATTACACTTTGCTGTTATTCATTTTAGCTACAGCGAGAGTTCCTAGCTACAACGAGAGAGCATCAGAATGACTAATTTCTGGATACTCTCGCCATAGCGAGATATCCTGCAACTTATATTATTTAAACTCTCTAAAATTCACAT